CCGCGTGCGACGCGGCGTAAGCCCGGCCGTGGCCAGCCCTGCCCCCGCCAGGCTTCTCGCAACCACAGGGCTCCCAGCGCCAATCGTGGCCCCGCCTCCCAGTCACTCCCCCACCCCCGCCAGGCTTCCGTCCAGCGCCCCGCCGGAAATTCACAAAATACCGGACATTGCACAGGTCCAATATTTTCTGAATTTTTCTACTGGACAGAGAGCGCAAATACCGGACTGTCCGGTAGAAAACCAGACACCTGGCCACCCTCCCGGGGCATGCTCCCAGTGCAGAGACTTTCTAAACGCTCGGTCAGGAGAGAGGGCAAGCAGGGAGGGAGATCGGGCTGGAGCCCCTGGGCTGTCCCGGTTGTTGCAGCCGCCATCCCTGGAGCTGCATCCCCAGCAGCGCCCACTCCAGCGATCACCCCAACGAAGACGGGGGAGGGTCAGCCCCAACAGTCGCCTATGCTGAGCCACACTCCGAGGACCGCACCGCGTGCCTGTGATGGTAAGAAGAGGCTCAGGGCGGAAGGCTGTTCTTCCGGGAGCTTAGTGTGTTTTGGGCGGAGCCCCGCCGAGCTGGCAGTGTGGTCTCCGCAGCCAACAGGCCCCTGGGCTGGGACCCGGTGGAGCGGGAGGGCCCGGGTCCCCTACCCTCCCCCCAACTGGTGCTCGACTCGCCAACAGCCGGGTGAAGCCCACCAGTGACTTAGGCCTCCAGGCCAGAGTGAACATTGTGACTAGGCCTATAGGGGCTGTAGTTACTCTGGCCAGAGGTCACTGAACTTTGGGATTCAGCCTGCAGGCACTGTATTTCCCTGAGAGCAGGAACTGAACAGTGAGACTAATGCCATGGGGGTGGGCTGCCCCGTGACATGCGGGGCTCCCCCCACGACACCCTGCATGAACCCTGCCTCAGTATGCATGGGCCATGGCGGCACGTGAGCTTTCAGGAAATCTTGTGGTGTGGGCCATAGCTGGGAGAGGGTGAGAAGTGGGCTGTGCATCATCCGCGCAAGAGAAATGGGCTCAATACATGGGTAGCCAGCTTGGCAATATTTAAAAGCCAGACACTCCAGCAAGTGTGCCAGAACCCGCCCCTGCTGCCCCATCTCTCCCCTCAGGCCCATCCCCTACCCCACCGCTTCCTCCAAGGCCCTGCCCCATCTACTCCTCTTCCCTTCTCCCTGTCGTTCGCTGCTCTTCACCTTTTCCCCCTCCCCTGCCAAGGTCAAGAGGGACTTGGCTGCAAAGTCTGGGCTGGGAGCTGCCACTGCCAGAGGCAGACCTGGCTGGGGAGGGGCTGGCGTGGGTGATGAGTCGGGACCTCCCTGCCTGCAGGAGCTGAATTTGCATGTCTGGTGACTTTATGGTAAAAAATGGGCCACCTGGCACACTACCTGCACCAGAGTAACAGGAGTGTAAATCAGCCACACGCCCAATCCTTTCCCCAGAAAACACCCCCAGTGTGGGGGACTTTGCACACCAAAGTCTGGGACACCCAGTTGAAAAGACATCCTGGGCACTCCATTCAGCACCACTGACCGGGCTGCTAATGGGCTGGTTGGCAGCGCTGTTTGGCAGGCTCCCTGCTAGCCTCCACGCTGCACAGCCTCCGGAAGCAGCATGTCCCCTCTCAGCTCCTACACAAAGTGGCAGCCTGAGCAGCTGGGAACCACAGCCAATGGGAGCTGTAGGGGTGGTGCCTGTGGAAGGGGCTGGCCAGAGATAAAACCAGGGTGTTGGGCTCTAGTTTGTCACTGTTCTCCCAGGGAAATGCCTGTTTAAGAAGTACTGGGGTTCCATAGGTGCTATCTGGTGACCGGCAAGAGCCCTGGGACATCCCCGTGGGTGGGTGGAGAGGAGTCTAAATAAGGGTGTTGGAATAAGCTGTGAAGATTTGTGATGAGAGCACTGGAAGACACTGGAAGTTACACTGACATTCTTCCTCCTCTGACGTTAGCTAACTAAAGGTGACTCTAGCTCTGGGCTGCAGCTCAGGCGAGGCCATTGCAGGTGTTCGTGGTGGGAGGTGAGGTCCTCTCCTCTAGGGTTGCCACCTGACCAGGTTCTTCAGGATCGTTTCTTTATTTAGGCCACCATCCTGGCAAATCTGTCAAGTGCTCCATGCACGTGGCTAATGCTCCAGGTTTAAGAGCTTAGGTTCATCCTGGGTGTGCCGGGTTTTGTATCCCAGGGTACGTCTACACTACAGCGCTAATTCGAACTAACTTAGTTCGAATTAGTTAATTTGAACTAAGCTAATTCGAACTAACGCGTCTAGAACTAAAAACTAGTTCGAATTAGCGTTTTGCTAATTCGAACTAGCGCGTCCACACTGATTGGACCCTGAACAGGGCTTAAGGATGGCCGGAAGCAGTGCCGGCAGGGCATAAAAGGAGGACTTAGAGCATGGAGATGCTGTCTCAGGCTAGCCGAGGGCTGCGCTTAAAGGGTCC